CTCACTTGGTAGCCCAGGCTGGCCTCGAACTCACAGAGATCCGCCTGGCTCTGCCTCCCGAGTGCTGGGATTAAAGGCGTGCGCCACCACCGCCCGGATAAATGTTCAAATTCTTAAGAGGAGAGGGGAGAAAGAGAGAAAGGGAAGAATCCTCGTATGGCATTTTGGTCTTCTGAAATAGGCATTTCCGGTGGAATAGTTTTCTATAAAAATAAGATTTTATTGTTCTCTATAGGTTTGGGGTGAGCCAGGCTTCCAGGGAAATGCTGAGAAGAATGTGGAGGGGGTGATGGTATGGCGTCAGCTGCTGCTGAGGGATAGGATAGGAAGCAGAGGGGACAGAATCCCAGCTCTGACTTCCCTCTCTTGAGATAGGCAAAACCTTCTTGAAGATTCGATCACCTGTGCTAAGCAGCTGGTCCTCATTGGCATGGGGGAAGGGTGGGGAGGACCCACCATTCCCCAGCCTCATCCTGGCATCCTTGGGGGCAAGCCACAGACAGTGGGCGGCATTGTCTTGTCTTTGGTGTGGGGAAGCAGGCCCTGCTGTCTCAAGCCTTGGTGAAGTTCCTTCTTCCTTCAGGCAAACGGCTCTGTGAGCTGCCACAGGACAGACTGCGTGGACTCGTGCCCTCACCCCATCCGGATTCCTGGACAGTGCTGTCCTGACTGTTCAGCAGGTAACCCTGGCGAGGCCCTACCTCACCCTCGACAGCAATTCTCAGGGCTCCTGGAGGCCCTGCTGGCCTTGCCTCAGGCCCCTCCTCACTGAGCACCATGGGAACCTCAGCTCTCTCCCTCTCCTGGCACCCTGCTCGGCACCCACAGCTCAGAGAAGCGAAGTGGCCGAAGGCCAGGCTTCAATGCTGGACCCACGTATGCAAATTCCCAGCTTACAGTCCTCATGGGCTGGCATAGGAACCAGACCTGGAAAACTGGGCCAGTGAGAAAAAACACCAACAAGGCTAGATTCCACAGAAATTTTGACCTTTTCCACTATTTCAAAATTAAATTTGTCATAGAAAAGCTATAAAGCAAGGCTACATTTAAAAAGGCCCATGTACCACTGTCGTCCCTGTGGTTATGTATTTCTAGTCCCTGTTTGTGATGTGCGCACCTTTTGAGAGATGTGTGTGTGGTATACGTGTTTTGTTCTTTAAAAAAAAAAAAAAAATCTCCCCCTAAGGGCTGGGCTTGTTCGCACATGCCTCGAGCCCCAGTACTTGGGAGAGAGGCAGGAGGATGAAGCCTGGGCCAGATAGCAAGAGTCAGTCTCAAACAACAAGATAAAATGAGCCATGCTCTGTTGGAGAGTACAGTTCAGTGGGAAAGGGCTTGCCTAGAGTACAGGAGACTCTGGGCTCCAAACCTGCACTCCAAGTACAGACAAACAAACAACAACAAAACCAATGAAAGAAAAATGAAAATATTTTCTTACTGTTTCACCTGCTTTTATTACACATATATATGCAATTATATATATTGTATTTATATATTAAATATATGTACTTGTATTTATATAATCTATTATATTGTAATAATATATAATTGTATATTACACATAAATATATATAATTAAACACACACACACACACACACACACACACACATATATATTACACTTTTTTTCTTTTGAGTCAGGTCTCACTATGTAACCTAACTTGACCTAGAATTTGCTTTTTAGCCCAGGCTGTTCTGGAATTCCCTGTTCCTGCCTCAGCTCCTGACTATTGGAATTCACAGGCTTGTGCTACCATGTGCTTTAGTACTTACCAGTATGTGAACAATTTCATCCAAGTGGCCTCATGCACTTGGAGTCTTTGGAGACATCAGGAATGGGGGATATGGGAGGACTGGTTTGGAGAGGTGGGATTTTTGTCAGTTTACTCTGGAGAGGGACAGAAACCTTGTGTGTCTCCAGCACCACCTTGAGTCTCATGAGTTATCTGCCTGTCCCACCCCAAGTTCCTCAGTGACACCCCGCCCCTGTTATGAAGACATTGAAGCAAGATTCTGTAATGTCCTCCTTACCTAATCCAGACATAGTAAGCAGCCAGGACCCATTCCAAGGATGCTTATTGCTTGCCTAACCTCTGGGGAGGTACAGGGCCTGACCCTTGCTATTCAGATAAACTTCCAACCTTTGCCCTGGCCAGGCACCTGGCCACTCACTGCTCCTCACCCTTCTGGCTGCTGCTCACCACGTGCTCTGTTTGGCAGGCTGCACCTACACAGGTAGAATCTTCTACAACAACGAGACCTTCCCATCAGTGCTGGACCCCTGTCTGAGCTGCATCTGTCTGGTATGCACCACCTATTCGGATCCCGACCCCCAGTATCAGCTCCTGAACCCCAGAGAAGGCTCACTGTTGGTCCTGGTGAAAGCCGTCTTCCCACAGCCTGTCTAGCATGATTCTTTAGCTGGGGTCAGGGAATCATTTAAAAACTCTGGCTGGTCCAGTATTCTTGCTTTCTGGGTTGCCAAACTCAGTGAATCTCATCATTTCTGCATGAGAGACCCAGACTTCAGAGACCAAGTCATTTGCTCATGAGTTCATGACTGGTCGAAGGGCCAGACACTGAACCTTAGTATTCACACTCCTGGATCACACTTACATGCCAGGGACACCCCAGGGCCAGGCAGCCCACTGCTCGTTCTAGAAAACCTGTTAGGTTAGTGCACGCTCAATTTTCATGTTTGGAGAATGAAGGACAAAAGTCCCATCGCTTATCATGCTGATAAGTTAATGCTTGGCTAGAGCTGCTGTGTACCGTGGCGGTGTGTCTGTTGGGTGTCAGTGAGCCTCAGAGCTGGTTATGTGTGAAAAGGTACAAGGTCAACAAATGGATTGGGAAACGCAGGGTAAACATCTCTGTGGCCTCTGAGGAACCCGCTGCCCACTGTCCCTGTACATTCTCAGCCATGTGCTTTGGGAAATGTTGCTTCTTGGTCCTTTCTCTGAGTTTCTTTGTTTTTGTTACAATGCTGCAGATGGAACTCACTTTACCACTGAGCCACAGCCCAGCTCTCCCTCGTTTTTTTTTTTTTTTTGTTTTGTTTGTTTTTTGTTTGTTTGTTTGTTTTGTTTTGTTTTTGTTTTTGTTTTTTTTTTTGCTGCCCAGCTTTCCTGGATAATTCTGCATGTTTCAGTGGGTCACTATTGTCAAGTGACCTCATGGATGAAGTCAGGCCTTGTTCTTGAGAAGTTAGGAAGGACCCTAGTTGAGAAAATGTCACCCCTCAACCCCCATCCTACCATGGATGGCCAATATGGCTGCCTAGATGGGTCTGCCTTGCTGGGAGCCCTGGGCTTTCCCTAGCATTATATTAGCTGTCCTCAGTTAATGTCCTCAGGGGCCATGTGCATCCTGTGTTCTACAGCTGGGCTCGGTGGCCTGTTCACCTGTGGACTGTCCCATCACCTGTACCTACCCCTTCCACCCGGATGGCGAGTGCTGCCCTGTGTGCCATGGTGAGTGGGAAAAGCCACCCAGACCCAAGTCTCCCAGGTGACCTGCATCTCATCATCCTGTCTTCTCTGACTCTGCAGACTGTAACTTTGAAGGGAGAAAGGTAGTGAATGGTCAGGTGTTCACCTTGGATGACGAGCCCTGTACCCGGTGCATCTGCCAGGTGAGCTGGCCTGAGGGCCTGGGGCTGCCAGCCAGGCCTCCGTGCCACACACGTCCGTGCCACACATGGGGCCCCGAGCTAATCTGCCCATCCTGCTGTCCACTTTCACCTTTGCCTCTGGACACCCATCCCTCTCTGGAAGTCCAGATGAAGGTATCTTGCCATGGTTGGCATTACCTGTCATCCAGACCAGGGCCCAGGCTTTTCGACCTCTACCCAACACTTTTCTGTGTGTCCCACTACTGGTACAAGAGGCCCTGGAGAGCTCTGCCCCAGGCGAACAGGGTACTCTGGGCTTCCTCACGGTGTCTTTCTGCTTCTTCAGCTGGGAGAGGTGAGCTGTGAAAAGGTCCCTTGCCAGCCGGTCTGTACTGATCCCTCCTGCCTAGGTAAGCAGGCCCTGAGCCTAAGCTTTCCCCACCATCTCCCCCTGCAGAACTTCTCAGAGACATAGGCCTTAGAAAGGGCTGCCAAGGTGACCCGGGCTCAGACAGCATGGTTTGCTCCAGGTCACACAGTTTGGCAGGCTGCTGCTTCTGGGCTACTTACTCGGAAATACCAAATGTGTTGTATTGCCTGGCCCTCCCCCGCTTTCTTTTGCCTGTGTGTGGTGCTATGGGTCAAGTTCAGAGTCCTCTGCAGGCAAGGCTAGTGCTGTGCCTCAAGCCATCCCCAGCCTCACCCCTTTTTTGAGACAGGAGTTTTATGCTGCCCAGGCTGGCCTTAAGTTCTTGGATTTAAGGAACCTCCTGCTTCAGCCTTGTGAGTGCTGAGACTACAGCCCCGGCCAGCAAACTCGGCTAGTCCACGTGGCTCTTGATTGCACATTACAGACAGGACACAGTGCTCTCTTCTACAGCTCTGAAGTCTTGATGTGGCCCACAGCTGGCTGCTTAAGCAAGATCCCCTTATCCGTGAGACTTCAAATGGTATCTCAAGCTGTGGATGGAATTAAACCCTACATGAGAGCACTGTCAGGGAGGTCCCTAAGTGAATGACTGACTGAAGGGTAGCCCAGACGGTGTGGACACACTGGACAGAGAGGTCCCTAAGTGACTGACTGACTGACGGGTAGCACAGACAGTGTGGACACACTGGACAACGTGTAAGTCACAGCCTGGGCAAGACAGAGGGGATGCTGTAGATCATCATGCTACTCATAGGACACACGATTTAAAATATGTGAGTTGTTTGCTTCTGAAAATTTCTATTTACTGTTTAAGGACAGCAATTGATCATGATAACTGAAGTGTCAGAAAAGAAAACTTTGGATAAGGGGGAGCTGTATTCTCTTGAGCTGGTTTTCCTACCTCCTACCTTCCCAGTTCATTGAGTTCCCTCCCTCTTTCCCTCCCGGTCCCTCACTCCCTTCTTTCGTGTATACTTGTTTCTCTGGGCCTCCTTTCTTCCCTCTCTCCATGTCTCTTCCTTCCTTCCATGCACCTGTAATGTACCTCCTGTGGAAAATACTGGGTCAACATTTTTATTCAAATCTTGTGGGTTGTGTCAGGACTGTGTGGTTGACAATAGGGGCAACTGAGTCAGGAGTAGATCGGGGTCTCCCACAACACATTTCCATATCCTGGTCCTGAAGAAGCTTCGAGGAAGCACAATGATGCAGATGGTTCCCATAGTCTCCAAAACTGTTGAGAATTTTAATTTTTCCAGTTTACTCTGTGCAGAGATGTGTCTTCTTTACGTATTTTCAACTTCTAGAATGATGATGTACTTCTTTCCCCACTGTCTTGTGGATGACATTGCTTCCTGGGAAATGTCTGTTTCACATCTTTGGCCTCCCAAAGGCATGCCAGGATGTGGTCTGCTCCAGGGAGGTTTAGGACTGGAAATAGTGCCGGGGACCACCGGGGACTTGGATCATGCTTGCTTTTACCCACCACATGCTCTTCTACAGTGGCTAGGTCTCATGGCCTCAGCTTTCCAGAAACTCTGTCGCCAGCACGCCCGTCAGCTGCTGAGCATCACCTGTAACACCCATTGAGCAATCAGCAGGAATGCCAGGCCCAAAGGCATTCTCTCTTATCTCTGTTTTCCAGATGGAGTCGTAGAGCCTGGGGGAAGAAAGTTTCTAATTGGCGGTACTGGACTCTCTCTTCCCTCATCCCTTGCTCTCTGGCACACCATGTATTCCAGAGTGAGGAAACTAGGACCCAAAGAAGAGACGTGCTGAGCCAGTTTCCTTTCCCAGAACACACTGTCGGTTCTGCTCACCACACCCCATTCCTGTCCCATAGCTCTGTAAAGGGAACGCCACCATTTCATTGAAAGAGGATGGGACTTAGAAAGGACAGAGGAGGCTGGTGGAACGGATCAGCAAGTAAAGGCTCTTGCCGCCGAAAGCCCGATGACCCAATTTGGTCCCCATCCACACACATGGTGGAAGGAGAAAACTGACTTTTTCAAGTTGTCTTCTGAATTCCACACGTGTGCTGTGGCACGCGCGCGCGCGCACACACACACATACACACACACACACACACACACACACACACACACACACACAAAGACACACACACACACACAGGGTAATAAAAATAGTAATTTCCTTAAGACAAAATTCACATACCACCCAGTTCACACGTTTAAATCTCAGGACTCCATGGTTTTCGGCTCTGTGCGGTCGCCCTCTAGAGGACTTTCAGAGTATACCAGTGGGCGCAGCCGCACCCACCTCCCCTGGGTTGAACCTCTCTGAAGGTTCATTCCTCCTTCGCTTGTCACTGGTTATTTCATTTTTGCTTCCTTTCCTCTGTGGCCCACAGCCCTGCAGTGTGCGAGGTGGTAGGCTGAGACGGTTATTCATTTACTCCTTCACTCGGTGATGGCAGTTGAGTCTAATTCACTGCATTTGTCTTGTGTGCATGAAACCCTGCCTCGGTCTCCATCAATCAGGTGGAGAGGTGCATGCCTATAATCCTAAGGCAGAGGGATCGATAGTTCAAATTTGCCGGGATAGGTGGCACAAACCTTTAGTTCCAGAAGGCAGGCGGATCTCTGTGAGTTCAAGGTCAGCCAGGTTTATACACTAAGTTCCAGGACATAGAAAGATCCTGTCTCAAAAAAAAAAAAAAAAAAAAAAAAAAGATTGCATATTTTTGGAAAAAAAAAGCTTCATAGTGGAAAAAAAAAAATTCCTGTATCCTCTGGCTCCACAGATCCATCTTCCACACTGGTAACACCCCACAGCAGAGTGATATACATCTGCTATCATGGGTGCACCCAACTTGGCCTACCACGACACCCACAGTCCACAGCTAGCATGAGTGTTTAGGCTAAGACATCTCTGTCGTTTTGCATCTGACCCCCAGTCTGTTGGGATGCCCATTTTACAAGTGGGAAAACAGAGGCCCAGCATTAGACTCTCTCTTTCCTTATCCTTTGATCTCTGGCACTCCTCCATGTGGGACACCAAGACCCAAAGAGGAGACAAGCAGAGTCATGTGCTCTCCAAAAGTTACTTGGAGGGCCGCTTTAGTGAACTGCCCTCTTCCATTCATGGTTTCTCTTCAGCCTTCCATCCATGGAGGTCGGAGGCAGCCCACTGTGGTCCTCACCAGGTGTGAGGATGGGGTAGGGTGTCTATCCCCAGAATGGCTCATGTCAGCTACAATGAACCCTTGTGACCCTGTTTCTCCACCTCTGTCTAGATTCCCTCTTTCCTCCAAGAGAAAGGCAGCAACCCTCCCCTCATGGAGACCTTGGCAAAGATGCTCGGAGCCTCCGTGGAGACACTGGAGTCCCTGCCAACTGTAGCTCCTGCCCAGGGCCCCCATCAGCATCACCTGCAAGGCCCACATTCCAGCTCCTGCAGCTGCTTTTGAGAGCAAACCTGTCCGATGTGCAGACTGTATTCCCAGGCCCACCAGGAGCCCACACCTCCTCCTCACCTCCGCTGGAGTCAGAGGGTACATTTCTAGGGGAACCTGGGGCCTCTCAGCCTCCTGAGCCCTCAGCAGGGTCTCCGGTCTCTCCTGGGTCCTCTACTCTACCTCCAGTCTTTCCAGGGACTCGTTGGTCACCTGCCACTCCAGAGAGCTCTTCCTCAACCTTTGGGGCAGCATTCCGGTGGCCTCTGTCTGCCACAGACTTGACTGAGGCAGAAGTACCTTCGACGACGACGACGACGACCGGTCCTGACCTCTCAGAGACCCTCAGCACACCCTTGAAGCCTCAAAGACTATCTGCAGCTCTCCTGGACACCCCCAACCCTGGTCCCCAACAGCCCACAACAGACATCTCAAAGAAGGAAGAGTCTACCATCTGAGTGGATCACCATGCCTGGGACATACCAGACAGAGCTCTCTGCCAGTGACCTAGTAGGTGTGTGTGACCCCAGGGGTGACCCAGTGGGGGTCTCAGAGAAGACCTTGGAGTAAGATGGTCTGTCAAGGAGAGAGGCAGTGGAAGAAACAGCCGAAGCATCCCTTGACTCTGGACTTCTAGCCTCCAGAATTGTGAGGACCTAAGTTTCTGTTTAGCCTCCATCCTTGACTGTGGTATTGGTTACAGTGGCCCCGGTACAGTACGTCGGCACTGCCCACTCTCGCTTGGGCAGAGCCGTGCCCGGCGTGATCCTGTCGCCGCGCACTCTTGAATGTTTTGGGGGTGTCTATAATCTCTGTCATTATGCTTTGTTTTCAACACTGATTTCATGTAACGTTCATTTCGAGATGTGTTCAGAACATGTGTTATGTCCCCATTTCTATTTTAAACACTGAGCTGCTAAATCTCTCTCCTCCTGAGTTCACAGTCCAGGGCAGGGGGCAGCTGTGGCAGCTGCTCAGAAGATAAGTGCCCTTTAGAGTGTGAAATGGGAAAGTTGGAGGCCAGTAAACTGTGTGTACGTGTGTGTGATCACACACACACACACACACACACACACACACACACACACACACACACACGGTGAGAGGAGGCCAGAGCTCGCTGCTCCCTACTGTTTTCCATGTAGCTCATACTCACCACTTTTACAGTTGAAGCTGCCTTCCCATTTTTAATTCCCTGCTTTTAGAATCTGGGTGGGTGTGGGGTTGCTTCCAACTTCCCCTGTTATATGTAGATTCCCTGGGAAAATCATTACAGTCAACAAATAATTTATAGCAAATAAACAAATGTATTTGTCGCAGTGGGATTGATAGGTCTGAAGGTAGAGAGGTCGGTGGTTTTGTGTTGCTAAGTAATCACTCAAGTAGAAGGGATGGGTAGGAGCTGTTAGGGCCATGCCAGCAAGAGTGTTCATGTGTAGCACCCACCATAGCCAGCGGGTATCAGCACTCAGTTGACCCACATCGGTGGCTGTTTCTATGAAAAACAAGTCAATCCAGAAATAACTCAGCAAAGGTAAGGTCTCCTTTCTATTAGAGATCTTTATCTTTTATGAAGTAATGTTAGTTGGGGTATGGTGGCTCATACCTGTAATTGCAGAACTCCGAAGGCTGACGTTGGATGATCATGCCAACCTGGACTACATGAGATCCTGTCCCCCCCAAAAAAACAAGGCCGGGCAAGGTGGCACATGCCTTTAATGCCAGTCTTTGAGAGGCAGGAGCAAGTGATCTCTATGAGTTCTAGGCTAGCCTGGTCTATATGGTTTCCAGGAGATCTGGGATTATATACAGACCCACAAAAAAACAAACAAACAAACAAAATATCCCCTCTTCCCCAAAACAACACCAAAAAGTCAAACCAAGATGTTTAACTTCTCTTCCTTATTTTAGCATTGACCACTGGGGGGAAAACTAAGAAAAGTAGAAGAGAAGTCTCTGGTAGAACTGTCTTCTCTAGAACCCCGTCACGTGCTGGGTGTCACTGGCCTATGGCCTCTGTCAGGGGTTGGTTGTAAATAGCAATAGCTCATGATGCTTCGTGACAGGCTGTGTTCTGAAGGCTTTATATGATTAATTCATTATCTTCACATAAGACTGGAGGATAACGGCTCTTATTTCCTGTGATGACCACCTGCTCTCACAGTGAGGGACGCGGGAGGTGGGAATGGGGGCCAAGGACAGATGATCTCTGGGACCATGGTAGGGAGGCAGGACGTGAGAGCGGTGGCTCTTTCAGAACTTGCAACCACTGTACAAGCTCTGTGCGTGGCCTGGAAGTCCTTCCTTCTCAAACCTGGACAGTTTCTCAGTGTCTTTCCATGTCATTCCTCCTGGTTTCATTAGGTCTCTGCTGTCCCTGCCCCTTGATCTGTCTCTGGGACTCAGGGGCAAGTTCCCAGTGAGGCCTCCACCCAGCGTGAACCACAGGCCTGACATGTCGTAGATGCCCAGTGACGATGGACCACATGACATGAGGCTAAAGCAGCAGCTTTTGCAGTGCGCTGTATTGAAACAGGCCTTGATTGTTACTTTCTTTTTCCTGCTCCTCTGCTCTCGGCCCATCTGGGCCTGTGGGAAAAGCCATCCAAATCAAACATGCCCTCTCTTGGTTTAAAAAGATTTTTATAAGACTTACTTATTTTATGCGTATGAGTGTTTTGCCTGCGTGTATACATAGCATGTGCATGCCTGGTGCCCACAGAGGTCAGAGGAAGACATTGGATCCTCAGCAACTGGAGTTGTAGATGGTTGTGAGCTGCCACGTGGGTGCTGAGAGCCAAACCCAGGTCCTCGGCAAGAGCAAAAAGTATTCCTGACTGCTGGGCCATCTGTCTAGGCCATAAGTATGTCGAATTTTGATAGTCCAAATCAAGTGTTCCAATAGCTGTGCCCAGAAAGGTTTGGGGGTAGCCTACCTCAAGAAACTAACAACCTTTTTTTTATTTTTTTTTTTAATTTGGGGTAGGTGCTAAAAATTGAACCCAGTGCTTGGCTTGTGTTAGCCAAGTGTTCTACCACTGAGCTCTAGCCCCCAACCTCTTTTTACCTTTTAGGTTCTTTGTTTTATTTTGGTTTTTTGAGACAGGATTTCTCTGTGTAGCTTTGGAGCCTTTCCTGGAACTCCCTCTGTAGCCCAGGCTGGCCTCGAACTCACAGAGATCCACCTGCCTCTGCCTCCCGAGTGCTGGGATTAAAGGTGTGCGCCATCACCGCCCGGCTCACCTTTTAGTTTTTAAAGGCTTAATTCACATGTCTGTCTGTCTGTGCACTTATGTGAGGGTGCTAATGGAGGCCAGCAGTGGGTATCAGACCCCTGGGAGGTGGAATTACAGTTGTTTTGTGCTGGGACCTGAATTCTGGTCCTCTGACGGAACAGTAAGCCGAGCAGTCTCTCCAGCTTCTCTTTCTCATTGTGGTTGGATACAGTGTATCACTAAGTTACCCAGGCAGGCCTTGAACTCACTATGTAGCCTAGTCACTCTTTGAGTTTGCAGATTCTCCTGCCCCAGCCTCTCCAGGTGCTGAGATTACTGGCCTGTGCCACCAGGCCCAGTATCCAGAACCTGTGTTTAATTATCCTTTAAGCATCTTTCTGAATGGGGCAGGGGTGGGGGTGGGTGGGAGGAGAGACATTGGGAGCGTCAGCTCAAGCCCTCTTAGCTGTCTGGAACATCCTTTGCCGCTTTTTATCAGTGGCTCCTCCTCATTCCAGCCCCGTGGTTCTAAAGAAAAATGGCAATCACCTCCAGGTCACAGATAAGACCATTTGACCAAGCTGAGCCAATCTTAGCATCTTGTTCTCCTCTGCCCAAGATATTTGGTCCAGGATGGCCATCCCGTTCCAGGTGGACCAATCAGAGTCCTCCCTGCTACTCTGGGATTCCACCCCACCCCCATCTGTGTCCTTCCTGCTCAGACACCTTCAGACGTGGAATCCTAAGGCTAGTGGCAGCAGAGTCCTTGACCTCCAAAATATAAGAGAAAGAAGCTGAGAGGCAAAGAGAATCGAGGGGAGGGGAGGAGGGAGAGGGGGAGGGAACAGATGCCTGCCAGGCGTGTGACGGTTCCCTTCTGCACCTTCCCAGTATCATTCATAAAGTCTTCCTCTTCATTCATGCTGGTCGGACTTGGCTTCTCCCACCAAGGACACTACATGGTGGAGTCTTACTTCCCAGCCTTCTGGTGACTGAGGCAGGAGGAGTGTTGAAAGTTCCAGATCTACCTAGGTTACAATAATGAGTTCTGGGCTAGCCTGAGCTACACACTGAGACCCTATCTCAAAAACTAAACCAAAACAACACTAACTCCGGCATACCTCAGTCGACCCAGAGAGAGCAGCCATTAGCATCAGTGGCTTTGTGAATGCAATCTTTATTCTCCACCCAGAACAGGGCTTTGCAGAGCTCCCAATAGCTGGGGTCAGCTCCCCCGGGTGGGAATGCCCCATGAGCATTCATGTCTGTGTCATGTGCCTGGCTCTCCCCTGAAGGAAGCCCAGCACTCACACAGCAGGAGCCAGACCAATCCTGTTATTTGCCCGATCAAACACGGTGAAATACAGCCTTAGGAAAACATCCCCCAGCACCCACATCTCAGAGTCCGAAGAGTCGTCTATGCCTTCTTCAAAGTTGCTGTAGCAGTTGTGTGAATGCTTCTGAAAAACAAGGGCAATATGTGAACTCAGCCACCAGCTGCTCAGCTTCTTGCCTTTTTTTTTTTGAGCCAGGGTATCATGTTGCCCAGTTTGGTTTCATACTCACTATGTAGCTGAGGGTGACCTTGAATTTCTGGTCTTTCTACCTCAGCCTCCCAAGTGCTGGGATTACAGATGTGCATAGCATACCCACTTTATGCAGTGCTGGGGACTGACCTGAGGGCCTTCCTGCATTCTAGGCAGAAACTCTACCAACTGAGCTCCAGCCCAGCCCTGCCACTCAGCTTGGGGTCCTCCTTTCATGGAGCTGTGTGGCTCTGTCCCGCGGCTGCAGGATGGCTTTCACAGCTGGGATAAGAACCACTTGTGGCTCCCTCCATACTCTGCCATTTCCCCCCACCCCCAGCCTTGGTTCAGCTAGTCCCTCTGCAGAGCAGGCCTTTCCTGCTCCCCTTTGGGCAGCCTCTGGATGGTGCATGACCGTCCTCTTCAGTCACTGCTTCCCAGGCTGTCACACTCTCCTCTCTGTCCCTGGTCTGCCCATCCATCTAACCCAGCTGCCTCTCTGCATGGTTCCCTAGGTCCTATTTACCCCAGGCCACCCTTCAATTCAAACTACCCTTGTCTTTCCTCTGAAACCTGGGAGCAGGAGGAAGAATACCAGACTGGCTTTCACAGTCATGATGGTTGTGTGGGCAGCACTTGCCCAGTTGGTGGGCAAGCATCCTGTCACGGCATATCCTGACCACCAGGGTGTGCCTTCCTTTTCCACAGAAGTCCAAGCCCGGTGATTCCTGCTATTCCCACTGCCGAACTCACCTTCCTGATGTAGGCACTGGCTGGCACTGGGTAGGTAACACCACTGATGGTGAAGACAATATCAGGTAGGGTGTTGATGTTGTCACACTTGAGAATGTACTGTCAAAGAGGGAGAGGCTGGAGGTTAGCCCAGCCACGACTGCAGCAGTGTGCGGAGAACCCAGATGGCCCGCCCACATGACCCTTTACCTCGTTATCACTGGTGGCCTTGGCACCAATGAGATTCTGAATTTTAAGGATTGCGTTTCGGGGGCCAGTCAGCAAGGAGGTCCCTGTGTCCATAATACCTTGGCAGCCACCTTCACAGGCAATGACTACTCCATTCATGGAGATGCTGAGAGGCAGGGACCAAAGAGAACACCAGGATTACCACACAGACCCACACTCTCCTTCCCTGACCTCAAAGCGGCCCTTTAGCTCTTCATGCTCACCCTCCTGCTGGTCACTTTACCTTTTCTGATTTATTTATGGTTATCTAGTTATTTAGAGCAAAGTCTTACCAAGTTTTCCGAGCTCCAGGGTCTGAGCTCAAATGACCCTCCTGCTTCAACCTCCCCAGTAGCTGTGACTATAGCAGGATGCCACCACATCTGGCTTTCTTTACAGTTATCTTGTCTGGTTTTTTGTTTGTTTGTTTTGAGACAAGGTCTTATTGGCCTCAAACTCATTTTCTAGTCTGAAAGACCTTGAACTTCTGATACTCCTGCCTTTACTTCCCAAGTGCTGGATTATAGATATGTCCCATCCGCCTTTAATCCCAGCACTTGGGAAGCAGGTGGATCTCTGTGAGTTCCAGGCCAGCCTGGTCTACAGAGCGAGTTCCAGGACAGGCTCCAAAGCTATACAGAGAAACCCTGTCTCGGAAAAAAAAGATGTGCCCCATCATACCTAGTTTATTTGATGCTGGTGACTAGACCCAGGGTTTCCCACATGCTAGGCAAGCAGCCTACCAACTGAGCTAGATCCCCAGCACCATCCTTTCAGATGCTGAACGCACTGAGCTGTTTCTTGCCTCAGGGTCTTTGCACATGCCCCCTTTGTCTAGCTGGTTTCTCATCATCTCCCAAGTTCTAGCCTGATTGTCACCTTTTCCAGCTGCAGAGTCGATTCAGTCCCTCTCTTGGTCCCTTCCACCTTCCCTTAGTCATTTCTAGCAAGTAGTGAGGTGGTGACTCACTGTCTGCAGGACTCCCTGGTTCATGTCCACACGCACTACTGGATGGCACAATCACTAAGTGCCTCCCTCAGACTCGTCATGCAGTGATGCTCAGCACATGTATGTATGAATGAATAAATGAATGAATCAAGGAATAGAATGAACAAGGAACAGCAGGAAACACTTGTGCCCGACCAACTGCACAGCTTTGGAATGAAGGCAGGTCCCTGTGGGCATCCGACACTCCACAGCAGGGAGAAGAGCAGCCATTTGCTGCATAAGAGGCCATCTCTCCAGCAGATTGCCCCTGTGTTGATGTTCCCATCCCGGCAGCGCCCAGGAAGCCCACACAGATGGCCAGGCTGCCATGTCCCTGAAGGCTGCTTAAGCTTCCATCTGGTGACTCTGTGCACAGTCTGCTCAGTTTTTCTCCCCATGCGCTCAGGTGTTTCAGGTTCCCAAGTGCCCGGTCCTCTGTTCCCACCCCCGAGCCTGCTGCATGCCTGAGATGTGTATTTGTGATTTTCAGATCGGAGGATCGAGACTTGTCTCTGCCCCTGTCTGTTCTCTGGTGTGATAATCTCACGGTGGACCCAGGACCTCACCTACTTTGGACGGGAAGCCCCAAGTCCTGGGCAAACCAGGATGATGGTCCCTTATTGTGACCCTGTTCAGCACGGTAGATTCCCCCCTCCACGCCCCCCAGGCCAATTTCACTTTAGGGCTTTCAGACCATACTTCCCACCTTTCCCACTCTGCACAGGCCTTTTCCAGAGACTCCTGCCTGTTCAGGTCTGTAGATGCCCTGTCCTTGTATTAGTGCTCTAGACCCAGGTCTGACCCGTGCTCTCTGGCTCAGATTCTGCTGAGGAGACCTGGAGGGGTGTGTCTGTGGTGCCGGAGACTTGATGTCTGAGTGTGTCATTATGCAGCACTGTATGTGTGTTTCTGTGGTTGTACATGTTCAGGCTTCTGTTTATGTATGACCGTATTGTGACTCCATGTGTCAGTATATCATCGGCATGGGCCTGTGTTACTCTATTTGTGTGTGTGTGTGTGTGTGTGTGTGTGTGTGTGTGTGTGTCTGTGCGTGTGCACGCGCGTGCGTGCGCGCACGCGTTGGAGATAGCATCCAGGAGCAGGAATCAGGCAGGCGCTTACCTGTCCAGAGCTAACTGCCAGTAGCTGGGCTTGGACACAGGCACCCAGTGAAGGTCTCCGCTGTAGTAGGCGGGGTCCACTCCACCCAGCATTAGCATGCTGCCCTTCTCATCCTTGCTGGAAGGAAGAGGAGGGGGAGGGGTTTATGTCTGGTAGAGACTAGTGGGCTGGGTCCCTGAGGCGTCGCAGCACACCGGACCCTGCCAGCATTGCTCAGTGTTGCTGGTGTATCCATACAAACACACACAAGTCCGCTCAGCAGCCCTCTCAGGAAGGCCACTTATTCATGGACAGGGAAGTTAAGGCAAGGAGGGCCAAGTACCTGCTCCAGGTCAGTGATGCAGCTCATAGCAAAGCTGAGGGCTGAATGTGGATAATTGGCTACAGAGCTGGATTCTGGACACCCCGCCATTCTGTGGAGCACTTGGGCCCCTCTGGAAACTGGAGCTACTTTATGGTTAAAGCACAATTCATCCAGAGGAGTGTGACTCCCACCTGTCTAGACAGTCATTTTCCAGAATACTGAGGCCTGGGGCAGCTAGGGGTGTGTTTTCCAGCTCAGTCAGGACTAGCTTCTTCTCAGGGAGTCCCACCCCCACCTCAGGCCGATTGGTTCTGTCTGTCTGATTTATTGCTGTCACAGACACAGTTAGTCCCTAGGTATCTTCTTCCTTTATTTGCTACCTTCTTGTCTTCTGCTCCCCCTTTTCTGTATCCTTGTGTGAGCTGGGTACAGAGAGGCACTCGGTGCTTAGCAGCTGCTTAATAAGAAGCAGTTGAATGAATCATCGTGGACCAGACTGAAGTGTTCCCAAGGGCCAGAGAAAGACTGAACTGCTTGCTTAATGCTAGAAATGCTTGGCCACGCGAGAGAGCTGGGATTCCTGGAGCTCAGGTTTCCGAAGAGCCCGCAGCCATAGAATAGACAAACAGAGACACACATCTGCCTCCCACTCGAACATGTGGGATCAACTCCCACATTTGGTGGAGAAGAGACAAGTGTCAACCGGACCCGGCCACCTGTGCTTTGCCTTCTTGCCTGTCCTCTGGATCTTTGGCCCATCAGGAACTTCAACGTAGTTGAAGAGCTGGTGGACTGACCACCATCGTGGGGAAGAATCCTGAAGGCTGAGCTTGAGATCCGCTTCTCTCAGCACTAGACTGGGCCATCCTGGGCAAAGCCCTTCTCAAAGCCTTAGTTTCCTCATCTCTGATGGAAAAGACGGGACTAAAGGGGGCAGCACGTTCTCCACAGAGGGTCTGACTGTCTGCACTGGAGGCTGTGCACACTGGGAGACGTTCATCTCTACTGAATGGCTCAGTGCCTCTGCTGTGGTGCAAAAGCAGCCACAGGCACGATGGGATAGGTGATCCAATGAAATCGTATTCACAGAAGCCAATGATGGGCCAGATTTGGTGTCCAGACCACAGCAGGCAGACACCCGGACTAGACTACGTCTAAGGAACCTTCAGGATCAATCATTTCTAATGCGACTGACAGCCTGTGAAGGGCTGATCTGGTACGGGCTCACCTGCTCAAGTAGAAGGCAAAGAGATTCTGGGGGATGAGGCCTTGCATCCAGATGTTGTCAAAGACAGGCAGGACTCCCTGAAGGCTAAGGTCAGGGTAGCCCAGCCCCAGGATACCATCAAAGACCGCATATTCCATGAAAGTGCCTGGTTCCTCCAGGCTCAGGCCAAATGCCTGGGCCACAACCATGAGGTCCCCAATCTGTGAGAGAAGAGGGTGTCCTTACATAAGGCTCTGAAACCAGGGCTATGGCATGGCTGAGCTTGGGTGGGGGTAGGTGGGGAGATGGTCTGGCCCACAAGGTATAACTGAGTTCTGGCCAAGCCATGGGCCACTTGGATGTGAATCCCAGGCAGGAGTGGGCTGGCAGCTCCCCTGTGGTGCTGTGGGTTGTCACCAAGCTCCATACCATGACGTCATCTGATTTTAGATTATTATCCAAATGGGGAAACTGAGATGCTGAGTGTAACCCGAGGGTTCCCACTTGAAGATGAGTGGAAAGCAAGGCATCTCCTTCAGGGCAGTGCCCATGGTGACCTTTTCTGCACCCTTAGGAGGCAAGAACCTGCTATATCCAGGTGTTTGGCTGAGATTAGTTTTGTTTTTAAAGATTTATTTATTTATTATATATACTGCATGTATGATTGCTGGCCAGAAGAGGGTACAAGATCTCATTACAGATGGCTGTGAGCCACCATGTGGTTGCTGGGAATTGAACTCAGGACCTCTGGAAGAACTCTGAGCCATCTCTCCAGCCCCTAGTTTTGTTTTTTAAAACTGAGTCTCACTCTATGTCCCTGGCTATCCTGGAGCTTGTTATGTAGACCAGACTGGCAATGAATTCACAGAGCTCAGCCTGCCTCTGCCTTCTGGAGTGCTGGGATTAAAGGCCTGTGCCACCACGCCTGACTAAGCCACCAGGGTTCTCAAGAATATTTGGACTGTAAAAATGGCGTGCGTGCGTGCGTGCGTGCGTGCGTGTGATCATGCATGTGCACACTCAGGGATTTTGTTAATTCTCAAGTCCTTCAAGGCCTCCCAGGGTAAGAGCCTTTTGATGGAGCATGGCTCTCTCGAATCTGTGCTCTGCTTTTCCTGCCTGGGAGCTCAAGGCCCCTTGGCTGTTCCCAGAGGCCCAGACCACAGGGCTGTCCCCTGAGAGCACTTCTCACTTGCCTACTTATTCTGAGTCACACCCCAGCTCTTTGGCCTACCAGCTGTGTGACCTTGGACAAAGCACTGGCTCTCTCTGTTCACTCCCGTGTGGAATGAAGCCCTAGCAATGTCTGCCTTGGGCTTGTTGAGAAAATTAATGTAGCTACTTTGAAGACTGTGCCCAGCCTATTGTCTCGAACCATGTGGGGCATGCAAGTGGCTTATTTTTTTACAAACGTCTTTCCCTGAGCTACTGGTAGAAACAGCTTGTGTTCCCCTTTGGGGAAGGAGCTACAAATCTGAGCCCTTGACACCTATAGCTGGTCAAAGGACTCACCGTCGGGGGGGGGGGGGGGGGGGGACGGGGGGGGGGGGGCCCCACAAGGGGGGGGGCCAGCTAGAGCAGAAAAGCGCTCCCAGAGGACCCTGCCAGCAGTGTTCACACCCGGAGCCGGGCCTGTGCTAGCCCCTGGTTCCCGGGTTACCTTGACAGTGTCATAGGCAAGAAATCCCGACATCTCTCCTGAACCATAGGCGACGTTCACAGGTCGGCCCGAGACCAGGAAAGTGGAAGATCGCAGAGGATTGAAGACCTTGTGGTGAGCTGCAGGGACAGGCAGGAGGTGACCTCCTCAGGGAGGTGACCCTCAGGTGTGCTGGGGTAGGAGGGGTGATGAAGGGTAGGGCAGCTCGGAACGCTCACCGCAGGCTGGGCTGGAGCAGTAGATGGACGGTACCCACAGGTAGGCAGAACCAGTATCCAAGACGACCTTGAACTCCTGAGGGGGTGTGCCGATGCTGATGATGCCAATGTAGACCAGCTGCAGGAGAGAAAGGCCATGGCTAGGGCCGGCCTGGCTGCCCTGTCTGTCCCCTGCCTCCTGGGGAGCCTGACTTCATGGTGCTGCCCACAACTGCCAAGCCTCTGCTCAAACCAGGGCTTCCTTTTAGGAACACTCCATCCTCTCTCAAAGGTCTCAAATTCTTTCCACCTGTCAGGATCCAGCCTAAGTGCCTCTTCCAGGCTGCCCTCCTGGGTCACTCCAGGCCCCAGTGCTCTTTGCTTTCTCCAAACTCAAAATAGTTACTATCAAGACCACTCAGCCAGTCCTTTCATTGGACATGTGTTTACACTCCCCTGCCTTTCCCTCTCTCCCTTCCTCCCTACCCCCTTTCTCCTTTTTTTTTTTTTTTTTTTTTTTTTTTTTTTTTTTTTTTTT